CTATCTTATCTATCTTATCTATCTAATCTATCTTATCTATCTTATCTATCTAATCTATCTAATCTATCTAATCTATCTAATCTATCTAATCTATCTAATCTATCTAATCTATCTAATCTATCTTATCTGCCTTACCTACCTTATCTATCTTATTTATCTTATCTATCTATCTATCTATCTACCTACCTACCTACCTAATCAATCAATCAATCAATCAATCTATCTATCTATCTATCTATCTACCTACCTATCTATCTATCTATCTATCTTTTCTATCTATCTATCTACCTTATCTTATCTTATCTTATCTTATCTTATCTTATCTATCTTATCTATCTTATCTATCTATCTATCTATCTATCTATCTATCTATCTATCTATCTTTTCTATCTATCTATCTATCTACCTTTCTATCTAGCTATCTATCTATCAATCAATCTATCTATCTATCTATCTGTCTATCTGTCGATCTATCTATCGATCGATCTATCTATCTATCTATCTTTTCTATCTATCTATCTACCTTATCTTATCTGATCTTATCTTATCTTATCTATCTTATCTATCTTATCTATCTTATCTATCTATCTATCTATCTATCTACCTTATCTATCTTATCTACCTAATCTACTAACCTATCTAATCTATCCAATCTATCTAATCTATCTAATCTATCTAATCTATCTAATCTATCTAATCTATCTAACCTATCAATCTATCTATCTATCTAATCTATCTAATCTATCTAATCTATCTAATCTATCTAATCTATCTAATCTATCTAATCTATCTAATCTATCTTATCTATCTTATCTATCTACCTATCTAGCTTATTTTATCTTTATCGTATCTTATCTTATGTGATCTTACCTTGTCTCATCTTATCAAGTCTGAATCTATCTATCTGTTTCTCTCTGTACCTATTCACACGGCGACCTCTCTGCTTGTCTAACTATCTACCTACCGACCTACCTACCAGCCTAGAAAGTCATTCTAAATGTATGGGAAATGTGCAGACTTTGTCTCTCATCGTTAAAAATCATCTTTCCAAAATACGAGATCATTGTAGACACGCACACACACACTCTCACTCTCACTCTCACTCTCACTCTCACTCTCACTCTCACTCTCACTCACACTCACACTCACACTCACACTCACACTCACACTCACTCACACTCACTCTCACACTCACACTCACACTCACTCACACCATACCAAAGAACGCACACCATCCATGCATGCAAACCATCGGAGTCGAACCCAGCTTCCGTTCCACACGTTTGTAAGGTTGGAGATAACACACCCTTCACTCCACACTCCGCACTCTATACACGACACTCCCCACTTTACACTCCACACTTTACACTCTACACTTTACATTCCACACTCCACACTTTACACTCCTCTCTCCACACTTTACACTCCACACTCCACACTCTACACCTTACCCACTGCACACTCCACACTTTACACTCCACATTCCTTACTTTACACCTCACGCTCCACACTCCACAACACTACACTTTACACACTCCACACTCCACACTTTACGCTACACACTCCTTACTTTACACTCCACACTCCGCACTCCACACTCCACACTCCACACTCTACACTTTACACTCCACACTCCACACTGCACACTTTACACTCCACACTTTACACTCCACACTCTACACTTTTAGACTCCACCCTCTTCCGCATTCCACAGTCTACAGTGCACTGGTACGGTAACAGGGGGAAAATGTAGACTGTTCAAATAACTTGTTTCACAGTAGTGTTCTACGTGACTGCATTCGGGTTCGTGGGCTGCATCTTGTTTGATACAGTCAGAGATGCTAAGTCCTGGTTCGCGGAGGCCCTTCCGAAAAAATTATCGTACTTATTTCCACCAGAATAAGCAGACTTAAGCAAAGGTAAAGAGGATTAGCAGAGGGGTACAAGTGCTGTGAGGTACAGTAAATGTAACATGATAATGCTTTTGTTCAATAATACATTGCAACGCCTAGTGCGTTTGGATGGAATGGTGATAGATGGATGGATGAGTTCATGTGGGCACACAATGGTACGTACGTGCACAATCGTGCACACACACACACACTTGTAGGGAGGCAGATTATGCAAAGTGTGTGAGATTTGGTATTGTGTCACAGGTCATGGCTCTGCTTCGTCAGGCGGTTCGATCTGTGGCTCAGGCAGGACACTTCTTAGGTATCCGGCTGTACCAGGTGTATTCAATATATTTAACATGATTTAACTTTGTTTCTTGTCGCGTATTCAGCTTCGTTTTTGAGCGTATGATTGTTACAGTTGTTGGGCATTTTTGGCAAACACTCCAAGGCGACATTGACACACATAGTTTTACACATTCTAACCACTCAGCAATAAACATCTACAAGATGGTCAATCCAAGAGCTGGCCATCGTCCAAATGGTCTTAAAGTGTCTTGAAGAGGTTTACTTGGCCAAGCAATAGAAAAGAATACCATTAATCTTTGGTAGGGATCTCCGCACAATCCTCAAGACAGCTCTATGCATTGTCTGGGTGTATATACTATCCTTGGCAGGGAACAATCAGTTTCATGCGACGATGGAGATGACAAGTTTGATATATGTCATGTCGTCGACAAGAAGGATAGGTACTGCAACTGTCAGTATAAATCATTTGATTTGAAGTCTCAACGAGAAAGGACATGCATAGTTCAGGAACACACAAAGTCAGCCCTCCATGAGTCGAAACAAGTCGCATTGAATCCCACTTCATATTATTTACAACAGGTGAGTCCACACTCTTTGCACATCGCTTTTGACTGTGTTGACAAATGTTGACAATTGAACAGTTTTTCCTACAGGCTTTTATGTGGCTCTCCTGTCAAGCCTTGAGTATCAGGTCTCTGCCGTGCGGGCAACAGCGCCAGGCTTGCATGACACAAGCACACCTTGTTGTAGAGACAGCTCTGAAAGCAAGTTGGCAATCCCTTAGCAAGCTTGAAACAGATCAATTCAGAGCTTAATTCATCTTGATACACCTTTCCTTCTCGCCAGAGCTGCGCTGTGAAGCTCTGAAACTGTCCTGAAACTGCGCAGCCAGAGGTGCGTCCATCCTTTGCCGCGCCATTCCATCCGATGCAAGGGGTTCCCAGCATTCTGCGATGTTCCGCGTCACCATGTGGCATCATGACAGGGCTCAGCTCCGCTTTGTGTCGTGCCAAATGGGTTTGAGGGACCTGATCATGTCTGATGTCATGTTTGTCACATCGTGTCACATCGTGTCACATCGTGTCACATCGTGTCACATCGTGTCACATCGTGTCACATCGTGTCACATCACTGATGTCTGATCTGTTGGAGGTTTTGAGCCCAAGTGCACCAGGATCTCTGGGTCTGGGCTGCTCGATCTGATTCAACCTGATTGCCAAATTTGCCAAAGCTGAACTGTGTAAAGTGTAATCAAGAACATTATAGAACGTAATATTGTGTATATAATTTGTGTGAGTTTGAGATCAATTAGATCCTTACACCATGTTCCTTGTCGTGTGGTTTCGGTTCAAACTACCCTGACTTAGGGCCCTTGAGCTGTTGGTTGCAAAAACGGTCCCTAGCGCAATTCAAACTGGTAGCGGAGCTGGTTGCCGGAGAGTTCACTCCGACAGCCGGACTCTCACGGTGATAGCCTAGGTCCGAAACTTGTGTGTTTGTTGTGTTTGTGTGTAAGTGTGTAACGTCGAAACATCCTGAAGGATCGCTGAAATCCCATCGAAGGCCATGTCGATGGCCGGCCTGAGGTACTGCCCGAGCAGTCCTACAGTACCGTTGGAAACGAAAAGTGGAGCCTACGTGTATAGTGGAGACCCGTCCCACTTTCACGAATGGCAGTTCAGAACCCTTCTTCGAGTGGAACTCTGCAAGAAGAAGATGGAACAGAAGGCCAAGGAAAAGGCCAAGGAAGCATCCAGTTCCCCGGTCACTAGCCCTGCGAGCAGTGGTCGGAGGAGACGTCAGCCGACAGAAGCGGCAGGACAAGGAGATGCTGAAGAAGCTGCTGCTGAAGTATCACCCCAAGCCCCATCAGGTGAACATGAGATTGGTGGCTTTGCTTCGCCTCGTAGCCATCATGAAGACGATGACTTTGTTGATGTTTCTCCTTATGTGGAGCTTTTCAAAAAGGTCATGGAAGGGCTCAGGGGAGATGCATTTCTCATGGCCAAGGACTTGGGATTGAATGCACTAATGGATGTGGGCCCTCCTACCGGATTGGAATTGCTGGTGGAGAGAATCAAGGAGCATGTGTTTCCCTTGAGGTCACATGAAGCAAGGGAACTTTTCAGGCTTGGACAACAGGCTAGTGGCCCCCTTAGCCGTCAGTCTGCAGAGACGATTTTGTCTTTTATAGGAAGACGAAAACGCTGGTGGATCCAACTCAAAGAGCTAGACCCAGAAATGACGATATCCACCCAAATGCGGGCTGAGCTTCCCCTTGAGACATCAGGTCACACCCGTCGAGAGCAACTCATGGTCAAGACTGCTTGCCCGAAACCAAGCTTCGAAGGATACAGTGAGATCCTACTGGAACACCATGGAAGAATCCATCTGAGGGATTCAAGAAGTTTGGCCCCTCCTTCAAGGCCCTTTCCAGCGAAAGGAGCAGGGAAGAACAAAGGAAGGGGATGGTATCGATCGGGTTTCTTTGCAGGGGACTATGATGGCCAAGCAGGAAATGAAGCAGCAGGTGAAGGAGACAACTACGATATGGTGAAGGAGCTTATGTTGGGTATGGTGATGAGCCCAGTACAGAAGACCCAGATGATTGCGACTGGGTGTCAGATGAAGATCTTGGCATTGCACTGACAGCCATGGCTGCCTGTGACATGGACGAGACATCAACAGATGGTCTTGAAGAACTTGGTGAGGCTTGCCAGCACCAGTTGCAGGCCTACGCAGCTGTGGAACGTGCAAAGGGGAAAGGACCCTACAAGGGATCAGGAAAGGGCAAGGACAAAGGCAAAGGGAAGGGCAAGAGGGTTGTGAAGACCCAATTGTCCATCCAAGACAGGAAAGTCAGATTTGCCAGTCTGAAGAAAAACAGTCGTTGCCTACGCTGTGGAGGCTATGGACACTGGGCAGGTGACCCAGAATGCAAGATGCCCAACAAGAAACCCAGTGCCAAAGCGTCGGTCCCGGGTCAAGTGCCGAGCCAAGGGAAGGTTGGCTACTTTGCCCTGAGTGATTCCTCAGGAGATGATGATGGCCCATTGCCTTGCATGGTCATTGGAGCAGGGAGTAGTAAGAAGAAGTGTGGTTACATGGGTTATAGGACCCCCACTGCACACCCTGCCAAAGCCAAGGCAAGGACGCCACCACGTTCATCCCCCACGACCAGTGCTGGTAGCTTTTCGCAGGTGTCAAGCCATGCATTGGCTTCACGTGTGCCCAGAATGCCTGCCTTTCGTGCCAGGAGGGAAGATCCCATGGCTGACACTGCATTACCCCCTGGAAGTGACCATGTTTTCACGTTTGGGCAGCACAAGGGTTACACCTACCATGAAGTGTTGCAACAATACCCTGGGTACTATGTTTGGGGACGAAATGAACCTGGAACGTCAAGAATCTTGAATCAGTTTCTGGATTGGGTCGACATGCACTATGACGTTGATCATGGAACACATCAGGTTACACCCAAGCCAGTCCCTGAGGAAGTTCAGCCAAGATCTGCCCCGGTGCCAGGATCGAGGCACAAGACTGCTATGAAGAAGCCTCCCAATCCCCCTGTTGAGATTTCTGGTCATGTTTGCAAGGATTTTAGCTTGCTAGGATCCAATGCATACGTCATGCGCAAGACATGCAGGGATTGTGGAAGAGTCGCCCAGACCCCAAAGAATCCAACATACACCCAAGATCCCGAAACATGCAACCATGCAGTCACTGATCAGAGGGGATCAACCAAGAGCACCAGCAGAACGTTTTGTCTGTTGTGTGGAACTCATGTGGACTAGATGCCACATGATGAGGGACAGCGCAGGGAAGCCTTGGGAAGGGCTGTGAGTCAGTCTGCAGCACCCATGGTAGATCTGGTAGAAGACCTGTTGAAATATGAGAGGTTGGAATTGCTTTTGAGTACTGAGGACTCAGTAGCAGTGATGCACCAGTTTCAACAGGATTGTGAAGTGGAATCGAACCATGACCCCAACATGCGCGCCAGTGTCATGATCGACATCTTGCGCAACGCCATTGAGGCCGTGGTTGAAGCCAGAGACGCAACCCATGTTGGGTACGTGGCGCTTTCCCCTCTAGAGGACGATCTAGAATGCAACATGCTTCCAGTGGTGGATGTTCTGAATGATGAACATGTACGGGGAGTGTTGGACGAGGGTTGCAACTCGACAGTTTGTGGCCATGAGCGGATGGAAACATGCAAAGCCAAACTGAAGAATATGGGTTTTGAAGTTCCTCTGCAATCTGATGAGCAGAAGGCATTCAAAGGTCTTGCAGGGAATGTGCGCACCAAGGGTGGATGCAGAATCCCATTTGTGTTGGAACCTGAAGGTGGTAAGAGACTGCCAGGTGTTTTGGAAACGTATGTGGTTGGTGAGCCAGGAGATCCCACGCCCCTGTTACTGTCACAACATGCTCAAGCAGCATTGGGTTTGGTGGAAGACATGGCAACATCCACATGCGCACTTGGTAAGGATGGTCCCACCTTGAAGCTCCACAGAACCAAGGATTCAGGACTCTTATGCGTATGTTTGAGCAAGGGGTTGATCAACATGCCATTCAGGGAGACACCACCTCAGATCAGGGAGTTGAAGATTCCTGACAACATGGCATATGTCAGCACCACCCCGCGCACCATGGCCCCTGCTGGACAGCAAGTGCTGATCTTCACGGCAGGAGTGGACTTTTGCCCTCCGTTGGAAGCCTACTCCAATTACCCATCAGCGTGCAACCTTGAGAGAGTCTGCCATAACTTTGGCGGGAAGTCTTTGTGATTGACACCTCAGAGCTTGGAGACCCTCATCATGACAAGAGCTTGAGGAGTCACATTGGAACTCACCCTGACATTTTGGCAGGGCTTGTGCGCAATGATTGGACCATGCAGGTCATGCACGCTTTGGTCAGAAGAGTACACCAGAGCGTTCTGGATGGGAAGTCAGTTGGTGTGGTGGTCTACTGCAGGAGAAACCGACACAGGAGTGTGGCCCTGGGCTGGTTGATCTCATGTGCCTTGGAGTTCTTGAAAGACAGCTGCAGTCTGACCCATACAAATGCGAGAACCAGTTGGGCTCAGATGTCAGGTGGCTGCAAGGGCAGATGTGACCACTGCCACCACGTCAGCATGGATGCCAAGACTGAGGCAGAAGATCGTGCTGGGAAGTTGTGTGATTTGGCCCGTTGTGAGATGAGTGAGAGGGACATGAGAGTGCTGGATGACTGCTGTGAGGTGAGAGGTGTTGGATTGGCATCAGCACCCAAGGCAGCTCCCACAGCACTAGCGCCAAGGGCACCTGTGGCCAAGGCGGAAGGAGACCACCATCGCCAAGGAGATCACGTTCAGCACCAAGGGGAACACCACAGACAGAGGCCTTGATTGCAAGGATCAGTGAACTGACATCTGTGGCAGCTTGTGGCTGACAGAGATCAGGCAATGGCTTCAGGATCTTCCTCTTACAGAAGGCGACCAAGGAGCAGAAGCGACTCTCGAGACTCACGACGACGAGGCAGGTCCAGATCCCCTCAAGAGAGCCGAGGGTACAGTGATGCACCATGGCGTCGTCAGGAGTCATATCGCCGGCCAAGGACACCTCCCAGACCACCTACAAGGAGTCTGACACCTCTTCCTCGACGACGACCCCAAGCACGTCAGATGAGTGTGGAATCTGTGATGGCCGGTTGGCCAAGTCATTTGGACCTACCTGCAAGGGAGGATGATGGATCTCCTGGAACAACAGGGTCGATGCCCACGGACTTTCTGTGGAGCTGTTGGATGCCATGTGGTATGCAGCTGCTGTGGACCACCAGACTGGCTACAAGCAGAAGTGCTTGCGCTGGATTGGTCCGTACTTTCCAGGTACGACAGCAGAAGAAAGGAAGGTGCAGACAGTTGAGCAGAACAACATGTCGTCCAATGTGAAGGTGGCAGTACTTGGCCCTGACTACATTGGACTGTGCCTGCAGGAGGAATCCTGTGACAGGAAGACCATCAGGAGATCATGGGCTTCACCGGCTATGAGAGCTGAGGGATGGAGCGTCAGCATCTATGACTACATCGACAGAAGCTGGACAGTGGATGGGACCTACCCTTGTGGTGATGAGTTGGGATACCATCACGAGTCCACAGGTAGGATCCTGGTGTATGCTCCTACGAGGGAAGCTGAGGCATCATCTCCGCACGAGCCTGGTGAGCCTGGAGACGCCGAGGATGGAAACGGCGATGGGAATGCCCCTGGTGACGATCAGGAGGAAGAGAAGGACGATGATGTTGAAGAGATCACTGAAGAGGACAGTACGCGCCTTGCTTTTGAAGCAGAGTTGGAAACAACGGAGAACCAAGAACCCATGGATGTGGCTGAGGAAATTCCCGCTGCACATGCCGCAGTAACTGCCCCAAAGGAGGAACAAGGTGATAATCCTTTCTGAACAGAAGACCCCTGAACTTAAGGCTTTGGGAGTTACTGAGGGAGACCCCCCTGAAAAGGTCAGCATGCCTGGAACGTTCACTAAGGCCATGACACCGATGCATCCCAACAAGTACATCGATCTGGCCAGTGACGATGATGATCCAAGCGGTGTTGCTGGATCTGAGACAACAACAACTGCTGTGAAGCTGGAGGTGAAAACAGAGTCTCAGCCATGTGCGTTGTTGGGAGCCCTGATGTCCACAGAGTCAAGGGTAATGGACAAAAAGGACAAATGTGTAGCGACTTCAGGGTTGAAGATCATGCAGCATGAAGATGACGTCATGAAAGCCATGGTAGAAGCAACTCCTGTGCCAGAGTCGGTCCACATGTTGGTCTTAAGGGATCCCACGGTCAACTTGTCCAATTGGAATGACGTGCATGTCATTGCAGTAAGTTCCAGTAGGGAAGACACATGCAAGAAGTTTGCAGCCAGGGTTTCATCACAATGCCCTGGACTGGTTGCAGTGTATATGGAAAACCCCACTTGGAATCAGATCCAAGACCTCCACTGTGAGGCAGACATGAACCAATGCACGGTTGTGGTTTTCACCCCATACCTGGAAAACCTGGTTGACAAGAGCACTTGCTTTGGGGGTAATTTGTGCCTGTTCGTTGCAGGAGACCGTGATGATGCCTTGAGCAGGCTGGCCAAGGAGTGGAACGATGGTCGAGTGTCCATGACACCAAGGACGTTTCAAGATGCATGTGGCATGGAGTTTCATGAGTTGTTGAAGGGTCATTCAGAGAAGCTTTACCTAGATAGGTATGCCCAGACTTGTTTTGTGGGTGAAGTTTTGGATGAGCTGTCTGGATGAAGCCCAGAGGAGAGCCCAGTGGAGAGCATTGCCCACACGCACTAGGATTGCCATGCGACGCCTGCACAGGCAATTTGGCCACCCAACACCTGCTACCTTGAAGAAAGGAAGGGCGTCTCCAGAGCTGATTGAGGCAGCTCGATGGGTGAGGTGCCAGGCGTGTGAGGATTCAGCAAACCCCCCAAGGGATCACCCAGTAGGAAGTCATTTCAACTCTATGTTGGGTTTTGACGTGCTGGAGATGAGAGACCATGTAGGGGGGAAGTACTCAGTGATGTCAATGGTTGACATAGCCACAGGATTTCACATGTGTGAAGTTGTGAAAGAAGGTGGAGGACAGCCCGCTTCAGAGGCGTGTGCCAAGGCACTGATGACCAAGTGGATCGCTTGGGCTGGTTGGCCACGTGCATGCATCATGGATCGAGGCTTGCACAACAGAGGTGCAGTAGCCAGGGTGCTGTCAAGCCATGGATGCAAGATCGAGTTTGCCCCTTTGGAAACCCCAGCAGCAATAGGGAAGGTTGAACGTCATGGTGGAATTCTGAAAGCGATGGTCAGAAAAGTGATTGCCGATACCGAGACGGCAGGACTTGCAGACTTTGAGGTGCTGCTGCAAGAACGCACATCCACGAAGAACAACATGCAGAGAACAAACGGTTACAGTGCAAGTCAATGGGTCTTGGGAAAACAGCCACGCATGCCAGGCTCAGTCACAGACATGTCAGAGAGCGCTGACATGGGTGTAAGACTGACCCTGATGTAGCCTACCACAAGGTACACGCCGCAAGGATGAGTGCACAGAGAGCCTTTGTGCACCTGGACACAAGCAACAGGGTTGCACGTGTCAAAAGCAATGCAGCTCCCCAACACAATGAGTATGCTGTTGGAGATTTGGTCTGCTACAGGAGGGATGCGCAGCAAGGTGGCACAACGTGGAGCACAGCATCCCGTGTGATTGGTCATGACCCCCACAATGGGTTGTGGTTGTTGCACGAGGGGGTTCCAATTTTGTGCAATGCATCACGTGTGAGGTCTGCCAATGAGAGTGAGGCCGTAGCCTTCTCCATCTTGAATGGGGAGCCTGTGCTGCCAGATGCCATTGTGTCAGGCCCTCAGCAGCAGAAGTACATCCATCTTGAAGATGAACAACAAGGACCGGTTGGAATCTTTGATGATGATTTGGATGCCCCTCAGGGGAGCAGTGCGCCATCAAGAGCTCCAGGAACACCAGGAACAAGGAAGCAGGCCAGAGATAAGACGGGCAGAACTGAACGTTCTGCTCCGTACACCAGGGTGGCACCAACTACCCCTGGAGCACTGCCAGGTGACACGATGCTGGCTGAAATGGTGGATGGTGACCATTGGCGTATTGCAAAGGATGTTGCAATCAGAGTTCACGCAGAGCCCAGGAAGAGAGAGTACAACACGATGATCGATGGTGATTTGCCAGATGGGCTTCAGGACTCAGGGTTTGCAGCAGTAAGGAAAACTTTCAGGAATGGGGATGTAAAAACAAACGAAACGGGTAAGCTAAGTAACGTAGAAGAAACGGACGCTTGGACCGGTTTCACTGTCTTTCGAAGGGCACAAGACCCATTCGACCGCATGCGAGCCATGGATCTGGAACTGGACTTGGAGCCACTGAGGTCTTTCATTGCACAGCGCGTTGTGGAGGCCGACGAGGCGGTTCAATCTGGGAAGGTGGCTAAAACGGTAGACATCAGGAAGGTCTCACCAGAGATCTCAGAGATCAGGACCTTGATGATGGAAGCTCGAACTGCTGAGTGGGAGAAGTACAAAAGCTTCAACGCTGCAATTCCCATTTGGGGAAAGGAGCTTCAAAATCTACTGGATGAGGGCCACAAAGTAATCCCGTCAAAGTGGGTTGAAACAGACAAACATGAACACCTAAAGGGAACCCCAGAGTATAGTCCCAAGATGAAAGCTCGTTTGGTGATTTGTGGTAACTTCGAAGATGTGAGCCGAGAAGATGTGAGGTGCGATGCTCCGACAGCAGATGCGGAGTCACACTGCCTCCTAGCGAGCTGGGCTGCTTCGGAGAGGTTACGTCTGAAAGGAAGTGACGTGACCAATGCGTATTTCCAAGCAAGGCCACTGACACGGCTGCTATTGATGCGACAGCCAACCGGTGGACTTGGTGATCCGGACGTGCCTGCAGAAGCGTGTCTGCTCTGCAGGGTCCCCACCTATGGTTCAATCGACGCTGGTAGAGGTTTCTACTTGTGCAGGGATTCAGAAGTGAAGACAGCAGGAATGAAGGCGTCAAAGGTGATGCCTGCCCTGTACTACCATCAGGACGAAAATGGTGAACTGGATGCCATGCTATGCACCCATGTGGATGACCTACTGTTTGCCCACAAGTCAAGTGGAGCAAAGGTGATCCAGGAGATCCTTGGAAAATTCTCAGTCGGAAAGACTGAAGAAGGAAGCTTCCGATACTGTGGACGTCGGTTTACCCAACATGATGATTTCACAGTTGAAATCGATGCTGAGGAGAACACCAGAGGAATCAAGCCAATTTCGATTGACAAGTCTCGTAAGGGAACTGACGTTGTCACGGAAAAGGGGTTGACAAGTCTCCGGTCAGTGACGGGGTCACTGGCGTGGGTAGCACGGTACCGTCGTGCAGACTTGGCGTACAAGGTGAATGAACTCCAGAGACTCTGTAATCCAAAGGCCACGGTGTCAGACCTAAGGCTGGCAAACAAGGCTGCTGAACTGGCACACCAGAACCAAGACATGAAGCTGGTGTACAAGGCCAATTGGATTGACTGGAAGGATCTTGCAGTGGTGATGTACAGCGATGCGTCCTTTGCAAATGAACCCGGATTCAAATCCCAGCAAGGCAGAATTCACTATCTGTCTACGGCGACGGCTTCGCGCTTAACCGAGAAAGATCACAACATAATACATGTGATCGGGCTCGGTTCGTCAACATTGAAGCGTGTGTGCAGAACCACGTTGCAAGCTGAGTCGTACGCACTTCAGAGTGCAGTGGAACACGGTGATCGCCCGAGGTGTGTCTTGTGTGAGATGACAGGCAAGCTGGTGTCGATGACAGACTGGCACGAGCAATGCCAGATGAAGATGATGAAGCACATTTGTGTGTCTGACTGCATGAGCTTGGTCGAGCACCTGAATGCAGAAGTGCCCAAGAAGATCCAAGATAAACGGCTGAAGAGCAGTCTTGAGTACTCGCCCTATGGGGACGAGCTGTGGTGGATTGAGACTGCCCGGATGCTCGCAGATACATTGACTAAGTCAATGAAACCCTGCCTTTTAACGAGGACCTTGACATCCGGCCTGAATTCGCTCAGACTTGCATGAGAAGATGTGTGGCAGTCATGCCATCAGCAGGAATGGCCCGACGCTGTAAAGTGTATAGGCAGTTTGAGACCACGCAAGGACATGTAGATAAGACGGGTGTGAGTTTGAGATCAATTAGATCCAGTCCCGACCATTCTGTCGGAGTCTGGAGGGCTAATCAATAACCATTACAAATTGGATGGATTCAAAGCATAGATGAAGAATGCTCAACTATAGACCCTACAATCTGGATGGAAGTTAGCTAGAATGGCTAGAAGACACACCTATGTCAAATGGATGAGCTGCATCTCAGGAAGCTAGATAAACTATGTAGCCCTTTCAGAACACATCTTGCATTGGAGGAAAAATTGATTTGCGGAGTAACTTGGGTCTTGCCAGAATGTCCTTGTCAGATCTCGCCGTTTCTGCCTGTATTATTATTATTAATAATATTATTAATATTATTTTTTTTATTATCGATATTTATATTTTTTGATTATGACATCCAACTGTTGGAAGATATCTCTTAGACATATTGGTACGTTGTATTCAATGTTTAACTTGGCCACTCAGACAGCATCACGCCGAAACAGGCTGATGAACGCAAAAAAACGGGAAAAATGAATCGCGACTCGGGTTGGTCGGGTTGTTGCAGGTTACTGCCTAGGGATCCTAGGATAGTGCGAGTAGAGCCACCCCCAGTCCCCACCATTCTGTAAAGGGCAAATCGAGCGAACGGATGCGAGCGGATGCGAGTCGAGCAAAATCGGGGTACCATTTTGTAACTAGGGGTCAGCTTGGACTGCCATTTTGTAACAAAAATCTTCCTCGGTGAACGTTGGGTTCTGCCAACTTGTAAGAAGGGCACCTTGGGGACGCCATTCTGTAGCTACAAAATGGGGCTCCCAACCCCTCGGGTCCAATCTGAACGGGGATAATTGTGACTAAATTGCCACACATCTCTATGGCAAATTCATCGCCTTGGCACGTTGCAACACGTTGCCCACTTTGAAACGGCACGTTGCACCGGCACGTTGTTAGCTCGTAAGGTGCCCCCCTCTCCAAGCGAAACGCTGGTGTGTCAGTGCTGGGCTGCGCCATTGCAATGGTGGCTGTTGGAGGTTGTGCCCAGGTGTGGCTGTTGTCCGCTGTTGTCCGACTTGACCCATGGATCACATGCACATGACATCCAAGTCATGTAGGAGTCCGCAAGAAGTAAACCAAGTATGCAAAAAAAATCAGCTGGAGTCTGGAGTGAGGATGGGAAGTCCGGCCATCCTAGGACCATGGAGCTTAGGAAAGGATAGGAAAGGTGTCAGTGCATCATAGCAGTGCAGTGCAAGGTGTATCAACATTGCACTGTAGCAGCTGTAGCAGCTGTAGCAGCTGTAGCAGCTGTAGCAGCTGTAGCAGCAGTAGTACACCGGAGTTCAGACCGGAGTTGGACAGATTTGGACGTTGGACGCAGGGCATTGGCCAACTCTTTGCTGCTCTTGTGGTGGGAATGGCGCGAAATCCATCCATGAAGGAAGATCTGTTTACGTGCCCCACGGAATCCCACGGATTCTGACGGGTTGTGTTACATGTTTTCTAAGTTGTGGCCAAGGCAAAAAGGTAGGTAGTTTGTACAAATTGACAGGGGGAAGGTCCTCTAAGAAGACCTTGATTGAGTACTTGAAGACCATGTCAACATATGTCAAGCAGGTACACGCTTATTGGAATGGGTTTCCTGGAGTTCTTGGCCATTGTCGTCATTCTCATTGCAGGCCCCTGTTTACCCAAATGGACAAGTGCTTTTGAGCTCAGGGTGAGGATCACGCAGGCAAACCTGTGCAAACAGATGCAGGATATATGGGCCACAGGCCACCTGTTTCGATCCCTTTGACTTAGCAAACAGCTTGACACAGCTTGACACAGCTTGACACAGCTTGACACAGCTTGACACAGCTTGACACAGAAGACTTGCGAAATGTTGCGAATCATTCTTGAGCCAAGTCATCCAAGTCGTGCACCCTGAGGCTTGCTGTTGTACTCCGAATAAGGAGACCTGTCGTTGAGTCATGACTTGTGCTCGTCTTAACTCGTCTTATAGTTTGTGAGGAACAGGACTCCAAATCTTAGATTGCTTAGATTGCTTGATTCAAATCAAAGAGTGACTGTACTGAACTGTACTGTTTGAATCAGCCGTCTCCGCGACAAATGCATCGCAGAAGAAACTCATGTTTTTATCATGAAACGAGATAAGAAATCTGATCAAGTTCAGCGCAAATCCAGTGCCAGGATGTCATGACACCACTTCAGAGAGTCAGTGGTGAACGCAGCGGCAGAATGCGCCTGCCTATGCAACCTATGGATAGTTGGCAATAGACATAGAGAGGAAATTGAACATGAAGGAATCCGGAAGCGCGCGTGAAAGGTCTTGCCCTGCCATTCAGCCTTTTCTGTCCTTGTCACCACAAAGCACTTGTTATTAAAACCCTAATTTAAGGCTGGCATGTGCTGGGACGGATATCATTTTTGTTCAAGTCTGCGACATGGCGCTTGGTCAAAAGCATTGCGCTCACGCTGTCATCCCGGACCATTTTTGCTTGACGTTTGGGTTCAGCCTTTGGGAAATGGCATGCGGCATAACTGCATAACCCTTGCGTATATACTTGCCAAAAGGGTCAGGCTGCACATTAGATGATTTAGATGTCAATAAACACATTCCACTCGGATTGAAACGAGTCGGGTCTATTGCATGCCAAGCGCAAGTTCAATGTGAATACTAAGATACTTTGAACATCTTTGAACTGGATCAGCGTGGTCAACATTGGTCAAAATTGGTCAACTAAGTCAACTATCCAGTCGCACTTGCTGGAGCTCTCGGCGTTGCTGTGCCAAGTCATGAAGTCATGGTTCAAGCATGGTAACATATTGTAACAGTCATTGTAACATATCGTAAGACTGGACACAAGACAGCGCAAGAGCGTGCAGTACAATGCAGTACACATGTTTAGATTCTTAGATCGTTCACATACACCTTCAATTGTGATTGAAAGGGTGTAGTCGTCAACTGAATTTCAGACACAGGCAAACCATGGTTTTAAGATGATGTTGTTCAATTAAAGAGAAGAGTGACGCATGCAAATGAATGCCACAGAAGACTAGTTGTCCATCCTGCACCAGATGATGTTGCGATGCGACCTCCACAGCTTGCTTCTCAGATCTCAGAACATCTTTTAATATCTTAAAATACGGTGATCTTCCGTATTCTTTCGTTGTTGCGTGGTGTGCGGACCTGAGCTGAATTGAAAACTTGAAACAAGATGCATGGCATGGCCTGGTCATTGTGGTGTGAATCCTCTGGATTTTCATGTTTTTTCGAAAAAAATATCATGATTCCAATTGGATTTTGAATATTATATATTTATTTAATGTAATTTCATGTCATTTGAGTCTGAACATATTTGAACAATTGTTTACTTGAGCGGCTGATTTGGTGTCGCGCATGCGCGCTCTTACTATGTCCTGTGTGTGGCCACAGCTTACAGGTCTGGGGGCAAGTCTAGCGGAGTGCTTACCAACTTGGCGGCAAGTTCCCTGACAGGTGCGATGGCTTGGGTTCTTGTTGTATCGTAAATTATATACTGTATCCCATGATGATTTGCGTCTTGGCAGAGTTTTTTTATTTGAACTGCGTCACTGCGTTTCTCAACAAGTCAATTAAGAAGTGACCTTTATCTACTTTTATTATATACCCCTTTGTTTTCTTGACCATGTGCTTCAGTGTGCTTTGACTTACAGTTTCGATCTCGCGAGGTATAATCGTGAGTTCTTTGAGCCACCCAATAGACACACTCAAATGTCGTTGGCAAGTGGCCCCGGCCTCAGTGTTGCTTCCATGGAACTGATCAATTGGATCACTTAGATCAATTGGATAAATTTGCATGTTTGCCACCATTTGCCACCTACCGTAGATGGACGAAATATTCAAACCCCTTCTATCCGGTACAACCCCCTCGCCCCCTAAGTTCAATGTTAATGTAACCTGAAGTGCATTAGCCCAATGGACGAAAAAAAACAAACCTTAACATCACTTTTGGTAACACGCGCGCGCTGAAACATTGAGATTCAGGGGTGCGGGGGTTCAACATAGTGCATGTTGCAGGGTTTGAATATTTTGTCCATCTACTGTAGTTTGCCTAGATTGTTTGGATTGGTTGCACTTGTTTGAAATATTGAGGTTGGAAAGGCATCTCAAGCACGGTCTCTTGGGCAAAAGTTGATACAGCACTTGCAACAACCCTGTGAACTCCGTACACAACTTTCCTACTTTACCAAGAACGAATATGAAAGTTGACACAATGACTCTGGCAAAAACCACCCAACACTGACGCTGCAGAGGGATGCCAATGCTTCAGAGGGATGCTGATGCTTCCGTAAAGTATTGAAACAGAAAGATGAGGAAGCAATATAATACCTGAGCAACCCCGCCATTATGTCAATATTGCTGTGGAATATTGCTTTGCCTGGTCATATCAAGAGTAACAGCAGCAGTCAGAAATCTCAGTTTGCATATGGTTTTCGGTTTCACACTCTCCTGAGACCTGAAAAGTTTCTAGCTTGGGCTCGGGTACAGAGATGCCTTGCTGTGGAAAGCCTTTTTTTAAATACAGGTAGTGCATTGTTCCTTGACTTGGCGCAAGCTCTTACAATCTGCGCATCACGATTCAGACTCCAACTCATTGCTGTCACGAAATGGTGTCAGTCCACATGGGCGCTTTGGCCACGACTAGTGAGATCTCTTGAACGTCCAACATAAATGCAAACATGGAGCACGGCTGAGAACTAATTTTCATGAAGCTCTGCAAGTCAGAAGTGATTCAAGCCACAGACGAAAGTTGTGAAAGTCTTCAGCCACCTGCATGTATTTACAGTATTTTGCAGTGCACTAATGTTTATCTTACTTTAAAGTTTATACTTTACATTAAATTGTGTGTTTTCCGATATTCCAAGCTCTGAAGCCTTCTGGATCCAACCGACAGTGCCAGGCATGTTTTTGGCTTTGCTCGCTCTGTGCTAATGGAGGAGCGTTGTATTTAGCTAAATCTGTAGCTTACATCCTACCAGTCCTACCATCCTGTGCTGCTTTTCCATCTGTAATCATCTTAGCGAAGATTGAGAGTTGCGCTTCGTGCTGAATTTCCAGAACTTTGGACCTGCAGGAAGGACTCTTGACAGGGCTCTGGAGGCATAGCTGATAGCTGGCACTTCAGATTGACCACTTGCATTTGCACTAGTTTGTTTCTCCACCTTAGCCTACCCCGTTCTGACTTTACATCCAAACACTTGCGAGGTTCCACCTTGAAATAAAACTAATTTCGTTCTTTATTTGCTTGGTGAAAGAGCAAGGCTTCATATAATATGATTTGTTTCTGCAGGCCAGGTTTCCTGCCAAATGTGATGTCGATGGCATGCTGCATTGGGATGAGGCCTGGCGTTGCCCTTGTTTCAAGATCTTACAAGTTTTAAACATGTTTTTCTTTTTGGAATTTTATCAGCACTTATGTGAACATCTTGAGTGTAGGTCATTGTAAGAGCGCATCAAGCTTTGATACATACTTTTTCTTGTTTATTCCTGTCAACCTGGACTCCTCTTTCCACAGCGCACAGCACCGCTGAATGGTTGGTGCTACTCGTGGTACCATGCCGCACTTGGGTGTGGAGCTGCGGCCTTGACCAAGGAACGGATTGTACGGATGCTTCCGAGATCGCATCGGCACCATACTTGGATTTGAAGTGCTTGACATGTCCACGGGAAGGTGTGAACGTGTGTCCAGTGAATGTGAACACAGTCTTCTCAATATGCTCTGTCAACATTGCGACCGTATTGTCTTCGCTCTTAGGCCAGATGGGAATCTCTGCAACAGGCAAAGCTGACAAGGCTCCATAATTTTGTACATAATTGAGCACACAATTAAGACATATTAAGACCACAGAGTGCTATGATCATTCATGTGTCCGTATCCATCATATTCTTTAGACTTGTCCACGCTGTAACCACAGTGGAACCCAGAATGATATTTAGCCGCCTCTAAACTTAAAACCTTTACCATTTGTTGCAACCAGATAGACTTGCTATGAACTGCTGTACACGGCTGTACAGGTTGGTCCAGCTGGGATGTTCTTCGCAGGCCTTTGCTCAGGGGCGTGAAGTCCTTGGTCTCGTTGACTTCTGTGACTTCTGTGTGATAGCCATCGAGCTGCTCAGTGAATGTTACACTCTGTTTGCATCTGCAAACAGTGCAAACGGTAGAGTTCACATATGTACACACAGAGGACACACAGGTTTGAACCACTACGGTGGAAGCCGCAACTTGGCTCTACTTTCGCCGAGGACCGGCTACGTTATTGCTTCTCCACTGCTCCAGGTCCGGTTGACGGGATGCCACCTGAAATAGAGCAGAAGCCTAGCAGCCTAGCACTTGCATTGCCAAGGGTTGCATGCTGCATTGATCTGCATTGCATTGCTCCGTATCACTGCATTACCATTTCTGTTTCCTTCCTTTCGCCGTGCTCCAAAAAAGGTCAAGACCCAAATGCAGGCGGAAGCTGGCAAGATTGGCCCTGACACCTGACCGGAATTTTGTTAGGCTGAATTCAGGGCTTTTGTGTCTCAACATGTTGGCAGCTTTGTTCGAACCTCCTTTGAACCTTTCCTCCTCGTTCTCTTTCTAGCCTCAGCAGTGAGAGTACTCTGAGAACAATATATAAATTATGTTTCTGAATGTGTTGGTCCTGTCAAGTCTTCCTAGGACGGCTTGTATGCTACTGGCGTGCTGCGTGGCCACGCACCAACATACCAGAGCACTTTCAAGGACACTGGAAACTGAGAAGATTGGGAGGTGTTCATAAGAATTGTTTGTACCCATGAGATCACACACACACATCTTCACAGACAGGTGGATAGTACTGTAAAATACTGTAACACTGTAAACATGTATATATATAATATTTATGTAATATTGAAGACATGCACATACCATATAACCCTTATGTGCAGTCTAAAGATCCAGGGGTTTAACGTGAGCCCGATGTTACTTTTGGCTCAAGTAAAATAGAGCTCCGCAGCTCGATAGTCTTTTTCATGGTAGCGCGTGAGCCTGGTGAGTCCGACGCCGATTACGAGTTGAGGCAAAGGGACAACAGGCACAGCCAGGAGAGACGGACTTTGAATAACTCCTCAGACGAGGAGGAGGAGGAGAAGAGCCGGGCGGCTGGTTCAGCCGCAGGCTCGGGGCTGGGAGCGGCGATATAGTCGCCCCAGTAGTGATAGCAGAAGAAGAGGCGGAGAAGGAAAAGGAAGAAAGAAGAGAAGCCTCAAAGACAAAGAAAGAGACCAGAGTAAGCCCTAAGCCCAGCGCAAAGCCCAAGATCGGATTCTACAAACCTCAGAAAAGTTGTCCAGGTGGACATCTTCAGGTTGAAACTGCAAGGTCAGCAACTTCTCCTGGTGGTACGAGAAGGCCAGCCGTAACTTTGATTGGTTTAGCAAATCCGGCAGATCAAGAACCGACCCAGACATACCAGGTCCGAGGCTTGAGAAGCCAGTCTGAAATTCGACAAGGTTCAGGTCCAGATCCATCAGAGCGGCTGGAACTGAATCCAAGGCCGCCCAGTCAGAGCCGCAGCGAGCGGTCGCTTCGTCCGCCGAGAGTTGAAAGGGAGTGCGACAGCTGTCCATTGGTAAGGGTAACATGGAGCAACGCATGCAAGAATTAGCAGAGACCATCCAACAACTTAGGCAATCCCAACAAACCCTAGCCGCCGAAAATGAGCGGCTGAGAGAGGGTCAGGCAGGTGTTCAGGCATTAGCGCAATCCGTAGGTGAGTTGGCACAGTCTTTGAAAAGGGATACCACGGATAGGAAAATCCTCATGGACACCAACGGTTTGGGTAGACCTGAAGTGTTTGACAATAAAGAAGAACGTCAGACTACGACAAAGTTTTGGAAAGTTGTTTGGATTCAGAACACCCCATAGACCTTCAAGATTTGGCTGACAACCAACACCCCGATGTAGATGGCCTAGAAAAGGTTGGGGAACAGTTGTATCGGGTGTTGTGCCATCTATGCACTGGGGAAAGTGAAGACCTTGTTGTTGGAGCCGGTAATGGCTTTGAAGCCTATAGGAAGCTTTGTAGGAGGTGGGACCCCGCCACGAGCGGGAGGAAAAGAAACCTCCTACGGGCCATCCTAAATCCAGAACGGTGCAAAACGTGGGCCGCCGTGAGGCCAGCTACTCCTAGTTGTGGAAGTCAATGCGTTTCAATGAAATGTGCGTCCTAGGTGGGGGAGAAATTTCTGGAAGTCGGTGCGATGTTGCGTCCAGTTGGTGTTTAGCATGTTTGTGTTTTCTCCAATTGATGGTTTATCGTGAGTTTTTCATGGATACCATGCAGATGGTTGTGGCTATTCCCTTGTGTTTTGGGAGTTTTGTACATCACTTGTGGCTCGCTCTGTTGTGCAAGATTCATACAAACACCGACGAATACTGGGTCGATGTTATAACAAGTGCCTATGGGGAATGGCCCGCATGGGCAGCGCCTATCACTTTAACTTACTGATGTATTTTTTGGCACTTCGCATAGGCACACGACGCTTACCTGTCATATCTTTTTGGGTTTACCCACTATACTCCCAAAGATGAAAGTCGTGGCAATTGTATACTTGTTTGCCAAGCTTGCGTCCCTTTGTCTCCCCTCTGTCTCCCCTCTGTCTCCCCTCTACTCGCCCTTTGTCTCCTCTTCTCTCTCCTTGCTCTTGCCTGCAGCTGCTGCTTGGCTTGGTTTCCTCTTCTGCTCCACCGCTGAAAGCTCTTGAGTCTAACTGTTCTGAAAAGAATGCGAAAGCGTGTGGCTACCAAAGAGTTTGTCAGGAGACTTAGGGGGCCAGTCTCCCAAAATCTGATTTCGGACCTCGTTTGGACCTCGTTTGCACCTCGTTTGCACCTCGTTCGGACCTCGTTAAAATTGCAGCCAGTCAAAACCCAACCCGGAGAGGTTTTGGAAAGGCTTTGCAATGGTCTGCTGCTTGGTCTGCTGCTGCTGCTGTTGTTGTTGCTTGTGTTGCTGCTTCTGGGCAAGGCGCGGTTTTTGGGCAGAGAAGCAAGAGATTTGTGAAAGGGCTGGAAGCTTTTGCCTGCCTCAGAATTAGCCCACTTTGACCGTCGGTGTGCCAATAGGATTTCCACCTGGCGGAAGATTAGTGATGTCTGGCGTAAGCGGTGTGCCATACGGCTGGCGCAAGTTCTAGTAAATGGCGTAGGTATCAATGTGCATGTTTGGATAAGCGTCCACATGGTGTTTAACATCCGTGGATATATATTTTTAAGATTGTGGGACATAACTGTGCACACGCGTCCTGATGGGGATTTAGAAAATTTAGCATATATTTTTTAAGATTATGGGACATAACTGTGCACACGCGTCCTGATGGGGATTTGGAAAATTTGCCAATAGAAAAGTGCACTGCCAGGGATCTAAAAGTAACACTTCTACATAGTGCGTCCCATGCAGTTTTAGACCTGGTTGCATTGACTTGTTTGACTTCCTGAATGCGCGGCGTCCCATGCAGTTTTTACCTTGGTTCCACATATGCACTGACTTTCACGTCCGGGTGTATCGAACAGCTGGAAGACTTGGTGAGGAGATACGAAGCTCGGAG